CTTTCAGAGCATGAGTCCCAGGACCTGCTTTTCTTCGGAACAAGGCATGGTCCCACGAAGCTGGGTCTGTAGTGCTCCTTCCAATGGAGGGGTAGGCGCTGTCCGGCGGTTCCCTGCTGCTGTGAGTGGTGGACAGCAGGGCTGTAGCTTATCCCTAGCACCAGGCATGCCACCCTGCAGTGAGGTGCTGAACGGACATTTCTCGGATAGTTTTTGGATGAACTCGCACGCCTTTCCTTAGCACCACCTAGTGGCGACGTGAACTACAGCCACTTCCTAAGAATCATTGCCGTGTTCTTTCATGGTGTCTCTGGTGCAGACAAATTACCTAAGGACACACTCTCACGCTTAGCACATTGCACGCACACAGCAGGGCTGGATGAATGAATGCTCTTTAATTATTCATATCTGGAAAAAAGAAGGCATATGCCGCATTCTGTAAAGCTTTAACACTTACTGAGAGAGGATATAGGGCAAGTTAAACACTTGGTCTCTGCCCTTGGGAAATTTTCAGGCTTTTGGGAGTAATAAAGTATTTAGTAATACAATTAGTAAATTATCTGGTGTAAACTGGTGGCTCTCGCATTGGCTGGTTACCAGAGTCAGCAGGGAGCTTTGTAAATGCAGGTTCTCAGGCCCCCTCACTAGAGAGTCTATTCCAAGGGTCTGGAAAAGGGTCCTGGGACCCTGACTTTAGTGCATTCTCCTGGTAACTCTGATGATCAGGTTTCGGATCTATTAGGGTAAACCTGAGCTAGAATCATTAGGTGGCTTCCTGGAGGAGGTGGGCCGGGAACTGGCACCCCACCCAGTTGTGCTGTGGGTCAGGCATTGTGCCAGGGCGTGTCCTGGGCCACAGGTGCTCATCATGGTCTAATGTGGAAAACTTCAAACAAGGAGTCAGGCCGAAACCGGTTTGGCTCAGTGGATGGAGCGTCGGCCTGTGGACTGAAGGGTCCCAGGTTCAGTTCCGGTCAAGGGCATGTGCCTGCGTTGCGGGCACATCCCCAGTGGGGGGTGTGCGGGAGGCAGCTGGTTGGTGTTTCTCTCTCATCGATGTTTCTAGCTCTCTATCTCTCTCCCTTCCTCTCTGTGGAAAATCAATAGAATATATTAAAAAAAACAAAAACAAACAAGGAGTCAGAGTCCAGGGGGTTTGGTGCCAAGAGAAGCCTGTGTAAGTGAGCCGGGCACTGAGGGTCCAGCTCATGATCCCCAGAGTGGAGGCATTTGAGTCTCTCCAAGGCCCATAGGGAGAGGAAGAGCGGTCAGAGGACACAAGGTAACACAGTGTCTGTCGGGAGCCTCAGGAGTTTGGTGTGGTGGGAACATGGGGTGAACACAGGCAAGTAGCATGAGATGTGCTAGAAAGGTGAGCAGGAGGCTGGAGGAGCAGGACTTCTGAGGGGTGATGCCAAGATAGAGAAGGAAAATGGGAGCTGGGCCCTGAGGCAGGGCCTGGGGGGGCGGTGGGTTAGGGCCATCCGAAGGGGAGCCTTTGCTCATGCCATTTCTCTGTGCCGGGAACTCTGCCAGAGGCCCTGGGGAAGATCCTGAGAGAGGCCTTGTGGGTAACTTACTCTCATCCCGTTCACAATACCCTTGTTTTTAAGTTTGTGGATCCTCAGCTTATAAATGGGAGGTGTTACAGCCCAGTGGATAGGAGCATGTGGGGTTCACATCTTGGTTCTGACCTCTCTGTGCCTCAGTTTCCTCATCAGTAAAATAGAATACTCACCTCAAATAACAGTCTGTGCAGAGAACTGAGAGCAGGTGAGACACTCAGTGAGTCGCTGCCTGTTAGCCAGTAGTGTCCTAGCGTCATTGTAGGCGAGGCAGGGCTTTTTGTCTTCATTTTCACATGAGGATGCTGAAGTTTAGAGAGAAATTCAGTGTCTTTGGAGGCAAAATTTAAACCGGGTCTGCTGGCTCCCACTCGCATACTCTGTCAGTGCCCCTGAACCACTGCTCCCCACCTGCCATGCCTGTCGGCCTAGAAGGTGACCTTTCTTAGAAAAAAGGGAGGTGACCTTTCTAGGTGAGGGCGGGGGTGCCCATCCAATCCTGTCTGTGAACTAAGCCCCACCCCCACTCCCAGTTTCCTGTTGGACCTTTCTCCCTGCGTTTGCCGTCTCCCCAACACCTGTCCCTGTGCCCACAGGATGTGTGCCCCCGTGATGGTGGAGCTGGAGGGGGAGACAGATCCCCTGCTTATCGCCATGAAAGAGCTCAAGTAAGTTGCCCAGATTGGGGTTTGCTGCTCCAGAGCCCGGGCAGGCATCCTCTGGATTCTCTGCTGCACCCCGACCCCACCTCCCTGCCTGGGGAAGCGGTGATGGTTCCTGTGGGTCTTAGCTTGTTCAGGAGTCAGCGCACCAGGAAGGAGGAGGGAGAGGGAGGAGGGGCAGGCAAAGGGGAGGCCACTGAGGAGACAGCACCTCTCCTGCCCCTCAGAGTTCCCTGTTCCTGCTGCAGCCTGCCTTCCCAGCCCCCATCTTCCTCCTCCTCCCTCAGACGTGGGATGGCAGGCCCCTCCAGACCACTGTCCCACACTCGGGGATGCAGGAACGTTCTTTTTATTGTAGTTCTTTTCCTGCAAAGTCCACTCAGCCCCAGGAAGAGGCTCCCTGACTTCTCTTTCCTCGCATTCTGCAGACAGTCTGCCCCTCCTGCTGCAGAACTGGCATCTCCAGCCCTCACGTGCATGTGCCTTCTCCCCGCCACAGGGCCCGAAAGATCCCCATCATCATTCGGCGCTACCTGCCTGACGGGAGCTATGAAGACTGGGGGGTAGACGAGCTCATCATCACGGACTGAGCTGGAGTCATCTTCCCAGCTGCGCCTCACCCCAGCTCCTGTTCCCACATCCTTTACACGTGTAAATAATAAACTCTCCAACCTTCCCACCCCTGCCTCCGGCTATCTGCTGTGCCCACCAGCCTTTGCCCCGCTGTCTGGAGGCTGCACCCATCCCAGTGGTCCCGTGAAGGTCAGCTCTTTAAGAAGCACCAGGGGCCTTTACCCCTGTGGCTACCCCGCATCCCTCCCTCCATCTCCCCTTCACCAGAGCAAAGGCTGCTGCAGGGAGACACCTCAGCTGCCTTCCCAGCAGACAGACCAGCCTTTGTGCCCAGGGAGCTGGTTGCCATGGAAACTCCCAATTTCCTTTCCAGTGGGGACTGGCTGCAGGGGCTTCTCCCTTCTCAGGAGTATCACAGAGCAGGTCTCATCAAGCCACCCATTGTTTCCTAAGGACCTGCCTCGAGCCTCTTATCATGGGCTCGGATCCCCTTTCAGGAGCAGTGCCCCAGCAGGAAGCTTGGGGACGCAGTGATCTCCGCCCTCCCCGGGCAGAGCCCTGCTGGGCAAGTCAGCTGGAGCAAGGACCCAGCACCTGCCCCCCTTGTCCCCACTCCTCAGGCCACTGCCCACACGGTGTCCTCCATGGCCCGCCTCCCGGTCTGCCACACCCATACCCTCTCCTTCCCAGCCTCTGGGAGATGTCCTTCCTGTTCCGTGTGGGCCTGTGACCCTCTGAGGCCCTGACTGGGATGGGTGCTGGGATCATAGTGGGCAGGGGAGCAGGACTCCTGGGCTCAAGGCGTGGCTTTAAATCAGGACTGGAGCGCACCTTCTGTCCTAGGTTCTAATGGGTCCTATTCTCTTCACCTTGCTTACCTGACACGCGGTAAGACCAATCACATTGGATCTTCCCTCCCTGGGGGGCGGGGGACAGGGAGAGGGTTTATATTGACCCCAACAGAGATAGAAGGGAAAATGGACTCCCTGAATAGAATATACCAGCCTTAACCTCCCTTCTACTGTCAGCTCCCCTTCCCGGAAGAGGAGGAGCGGGCATGGCCCCGGGGTGGGTGCACCCTGGCTGGACAGGGTGGGAGTGATGAGCGGTCAGTTCCAGGAGGGGTGTTTGCTGCCTTGGAAGAGGGTTAATTCAGGGAGCAGGGGACTTCGCACCCCCTCCACCCTCCCCAAGCCTGTGGAATCCTTTAATCAAGTTGGGTGCTGAAATTTCAGCTCTGAAATGCCGCCTTTGTGCTGGCATCCAGGCGGCCGCCCTAGAGTGCGGGGGTCACTTTCTCGGCCCCGTTTCTCTAAATGGTCTCTTTGTTCCTGCTGGGCCGCTCAGTATCAGATGTGATTAAAGGGAGATGGGGTTTGGGTGGGGGAGGAGAGAAGGGAGTGGGGGGTTAACCCTTAGGGAATAGGGTGTAGGAGAGATGGAGAAGGGGGTGTTTTTCCTCCCCCTTTCCACTCTGCTCCTCTTTCAGGGAGTCAGTCCCTGGCTACTCAGCTGGCCAGGGCTGGGCATAATCTCTTCACCTGGCTCCTCTCTTTACATGTGGTCACTCCCTGACTGAGGCCCCAGCACATCCGGAACCTTGAGTCTAAGGGATGAAACAAGCCAGGTCTGCCGACTTCTCTGGGATCATTTGTCCGTTTTCCCTCTTCCCGAGTCCCCAGTGACTTCCCAGTCGATCGCATGAGATGCAGAGTCCTGCCGAGAGCAGGAGCCGTGAACAGACTGGAAATGGCCTAATACCCTGTTTTCCAATAGAGGTGAAAGGGCGGGTTGTAAAAATTACGAGCATGTAAGGTTAGCACCGATTGATCCCGGACACATATCTAGAATCGGTTATTGCATATTGGAAAACACTTAGGCCATGAAGAGATCCCGGGGCTAGCATAGGGTGTCTCAGAATATTACCAAATGTTTTCAGTGGTGGCTGGTCTGGAAGGTCGGAGGCTACAGCAAATCTTGTTATAGCAAGGCATCAGGCGGTCTGTACTGTGATGAAGTGTGGACTTCGTGGTGATAATAGATTCAGAATCGATTGCCAGTCTTTCCTTAAGAGTGTAGTGACAGAACTAATGAAGGATTTAGTGGATTCACAGGGCCTGCTTCTCTTCATTTCAACCTTTTTTATTAATGACTTGAATAGGATATTCAGATTTGCAGATACAGAAGGAGAGCTAGTAAGTTGTATTCAGGATTCCAAAAGGTTTAATGTAGGTGGGAAATGGTCAATTCCAACAAGATGAAATCTGTTAAAGATCAGTATAAAATCCTGCTTTTATCTACAACAACAGAACACCAGGAGACATCTCACATACAGTTTGGGGCGATCTGACTTGGCAGCAGATACTGTTCATGAGAACAGGGGTTCGCAGCTACCAAGCTTCACGGAGCCAGCAGTTTTGGTGAGGTTGCCTAAGAGCTCACATGATGCAGTTTCCGGGTGGGAGTCTGGCCACCCTGGAGGACTGGGCTAGGTCTTGGCATGCTCTACCCCACCCCTACCCACCCCACCCCACCCCAGGTCCTCACTAGGAGGTGAGAGGTGGATAAGGGAGCTGAGGTGGCCGGTCTGGAGCAGTGGAAAAAGCATCACTTCAGATTAAAAGTGGAAGCAGGGCCTGTAGATGCTGGGCAGATGGAAGAGATGACAGTTAAGAGCGCAATGAGGGAGTCAGAGCATCAGCACTTCTTAGCATGAACCTCAAAGCTTCAGTTTGCCCATCTGGAAAATGGGGACAAAGACTGGATCTCCTCCCTCATAGGCTTGAATGGCATAAAGCACTTGGCCAGGGAGCACTCCGTAAGTAGTAGGTAGCTATTACTGTATTTATTAGCTGGGAATAAGGAAGACTTCAGCCATTGGAGCCAGCCATCAGTGGAGCATGTGGTGAAAGGGTTTCCCCTGCTCCTGAGGTGGAGTGGCTCCTGCCCCAGCACAGCTTGGAATTCAGCTGAGGAGGAAGCACTGAAGGGTTCGATTGCACGTCTGCCATCCTGGCTTTACACTCAGACACAGGCAGCTGCCGTGAAGGTTGGCTAGATCCTGGATTGGGCCAGTGTGTGTTTGTGTGTGTGTATATGCGGGTGTGTGTGTGTGTGTGTGTGCGCGCGCAGAGAGAAGGCCCAGCATCACATCCTAAAGGACTGGGCAGCCAGACACCAGGAAATCAGGCCTGGCCCACCTCTCAAGTACCTGTCTCTTGAATTCTATGCAAGCTCCCTCTCCTCTGCTGGGCAAGCAGAGGGGCTGCTGGGAAGGCGCTTGGGCTGAGTTCCAGCTTGAGCCAGGGAGGGGCCCATCTGTAGGGTGGGCACAGCTGGCCGGGGGGAAGAGCTCCCATCTGAGGCCCCAGCCCCTGAGCACACTGACCCACTGCGAGGCCCCCTCTTTCTAGGCAGAGAGGAGACCTTTGGGTTAGCTGTCCTTTGCATTCCACCCCTAGCTACTTCCAGGAAGTGTGAGGAAGCACAGGTGCAGGGAGAAGAGACCAAGAGACAGGCCGGGTCAGGCCCACCAAGCAGGTAGCTGGAACCTTTACTTTTATTACGGGGAATACTTAATGCAGAGTTAATAGGAGCTGGAGAACCTAGGAGCGGGGGGAGGGGAGGAGGAGCTACTGAGATAAATAAGAGGGGGTAGTAATGAGTTACATGTGGATTGTGGGGGCTGCAGAACAGGAACATAGGGGCAGACAGAGCTACATACTTTATTCAGATACCACTGGGAAGCAAAGGGCAGAGGCCAGGGCAGAATGTACATGGCAGGAGTTTAGTGTCTTCAGCTGCTGCTAGCAACCTGGTGCTGGGCCCCTTGTCCTCCTGGAGCCAAGGGTTTGGGCACGAGCAGCATAGCTCTCAGGGAGCCCAGGAGTGGGGCCGAGAGCAGGGGCCGAGAGCCTGGTGAGGGGAGGGAGCTGGCGGAGAGCCAGGAGGAAGGCTCTGTGCATTGTCTCCAATCCTTTCCTCACCTTCGGGATGTGCCTCAAGGTCTGGGAGGCTGTAGTGGAGGAGGCCCTAGGGCCCTCTTTCGGATTAGACGAAAAATCAGGCTGTTGGCATAGAACTGGATCTGGGGTCTCTAAGTTGATTCCTTTCTGTGTTCAGGAGGGAAGGGGGGACTGGCGGGGATACCTCCCACTGAGCCCCCACCCACCTCCACACTCTCAGAGGCTGTTCAAAGCTGTCCCCAGCCCCCAAGGGGCAGACATAGCCCACTCCAGGCACTGATGCAGGGATGGCCTTGACCTTAGGCACGTGGCACAGGTGGCATGGGTTATGTCAGACCTCTCGTTCTCCACGAAAGAGGAAACACAGTCACAGGAATGGCAAGGCCTCTGATTCCCATCCGACCCTGGGTGCTTCCCCCTCCCAGAGGGTGAGCGGGTCCTTCTCAGGTCCTGGGATGGAGGGTCATCCTGGGGGGAAGGTGCAGCCCCTCATGGTCCAGTCTAGGGGCAAAAACCAACCTCCTCCTCCTCTGCCCAGCCTAGAAGTCTAGGGCTTTGCCTGGGCTGAGCCTGGACAGGATGGGGTGGGGTCATCAAAGGCAGTGAGCCCGACAGAAAGCCTCCCCTCAGCTGTCAGCCTCTGCCGCCTCCTCCCCAGCCACCACCAGGACAAAGATGGGCCAGGAACTGGGTGCGAGGGCTTGGGAAGGGCATACTAGCCAGGGGCTGGGGGGATGTGACAGGGCCCCTTTAAGGTCGGGACAGCGTCGTATATACTGGCTGCTCCCAGTGTGTGGGGCTGTGGGATTGGGGCCCTGAGGGGCTGGGATCAGAGATGGCCGTGTAGAGGGGCCGCTGTGAGGGCCCCATGTAGGAGAAGGCCGAGTAGAGGCCAGAGGCCTGGCCTGAATGGCCGTAGTAGGGTCCTGAGGGCTGATGGTCAGAGTAGTCAAACTGGGGGCGGGAGATGGAGGGGAAGGCGGAGCCGTAGTGGGGCAGGCTGAGGGAGGTGTAGGCGATCTGCGAGGTGGACGGCTGGTCGCTGTAGTGCGGGGGCCCCTGGGGCCCTGCGGTCTCCGTCTTCACCTGGGCTTTGGTATCCACACCAGGTGGCGAGACCGTGGGCAGAGCCACGCCTGGCGGCTTGGAGATCCAGGCGGAGTGTCCACTGGCCACAGCCAGGGCGCTGCCCAGCCCATAGCCAGCTGCTGAGTAGCTGCCCACGTGGCCCGGGTGCCCGTTGGGTGGCAGATACTGGTCCAACTCAGCCACATCGAAGGTTTCCATGTTGGACATTACCTCGTGGCTGATCTCCCCGATGTCTACGTTGCCGAAGTCGATGTGAGGCTTTCCGCCCTCCCCCATGGAGCGCCCGTCCCGCTTGGGGTCTGCCTTCCCCGACTGCAGCTCTGTCTTTGGGGTGGTCGGAGGGGTGGGGGGGCCATGGCTCTGGCCTGAGTGGGAGGAAGACAGAGAAGCAGGAAACCAGGTCAGAGGCTTCTAGATGCTGGTAGTTCACCCTCAGAGAAGGGGTCTCCGGGACCTGAGGGCCGACCCTGCGTGCCTTGTACGTCTTACAGGCCTGGGCAGTCTGGGTTGGCACTGATTTATGTCACGGTCTTGGGTTGCTCTCTAGCGGTTCCTGAAGTCGCCCAGCCTTACAGGTGGGTCGTGCCTCCCTGCCTCCCTCCTGGAAAGGCTGCCTCCTTTTGAAAGACCTTTCCCGTTGGAAAGTTTCCTCCCATCAGCTGAGGTGGCTGCCTTCCTGGCCCTCGGCTCCTTAGCTGCTGAGCCCAGGGGGGCCCTGCCCTCCATTCAGCCGCCTGCCGGCTGCTGTCCTCGCTGACCTCCTCCGCCGCCTCGCTCCTGACTCCCTGTCACGTTTGCTGGCTGGCCTGTGCCTCCTCCCCAGACAGCAGTGTTCCCTCCAACCCCTTCCTCCGGGAAACCTTCCCGCTGAGCCAGTCCCCCTGGCAATGTCTCCAGACTTTCTCCACCCTGTTCCTTTGTCCATTTCACATTCACATGTCCATTCGGCAAACACTTAGGGGCACTGTGCCAGGAAGAGGGGACACAAGCATCAGTAAAATGGGTCGCTGTCTTCACCAGCTCAGAGGCTTGGGGAGATCCCGAGACCCACACGTGGCAGCTGCAGAAGTGCCGTGCTGACGGGCCCGCAGGGGCTCGGGCCAGTGGCAGCCACTCACCCTGCCCTGGGGATCTGGTGAAGGTCTCACTGAGGGGAAGGAGCTGAGATGGGCCTTGAAGGCTGAGAAAAAGCCCAAGCCCCAGTTACATTCTGAGGTGGTGGTTCTCACGGCCCAGGGTCTTCTTTCTGGGGGTGTGTGTGTGTGTGTGTGTGTTTGGTGTACGTGTGTGGGAGGATGACGGGACGGGAGATCCCATCACAGAGAGATCAGAGCTCCTGCAGGGCAGGCCTGTGCCCCGTTCATCAGACCAGAGGGAGGGCTGGGTCACTTGCCATGTGACCCTGGGCAGACCCCTGTCTTCTCCTAACCAGTTTCCTTATCAGTAAAGCCCGGCCTCCATCCTGAAGCCTTCCTGGCCCGGGGTCTCGATGCTTCTGGAGACCCGACTGAGTGGATGGTGGGTGACCCCTCCCTAGGGGTCATGCCCCGCTGCGTCTTGGGCGGCTTTGCATGCACTTGCTGCTTCCTATACCTAAGGCATGTATGCTCCTGCTCCTCCTAGGCCAGTGATGGCGAACCTTTTGGGCTCGGCGTGTCAGCATTTTGAAAAACCCTAACTTCACTCTGGTGCCGTGTCACATATAGAAATTTTTTTATATTTGCAACCATAGTAAAACAAAGACTTATATTTTTGGTACTTGTTTTACATATTTAAATGCCATCTAACAAAGAAAAATCAACCAAAAAAATGAGTTCACGTGTCACCTCTGACACGCGTGTCATAGGTTCGCCATCACTGTCCTACACTCTGGTTCCTGAGTGTCTGCTCCCAGGCCTGGATCAAATGGGGACTTGGGACATAGCTTCTCAGAGCAGAGCTCTGACTTCCTGTGCGCCCAAATGAGGCAGCCGTGGTGCCGGCAGAGGCCCCGGAGCCAGAGAGCCTGGGCTCAGACCTCAGCCGTGTGGCCCATCACCTCAGCTTTCTCACCTTCCAGGGAGTATAATGAGCCTCAGCTGAGGTCTGAGCCTCCCCGTTTAGAATGATCGAATGAGCAGACACACAAGGCAGTTGGCACAGAGCCTGGCACACCATAGGTGCTCAGTTAATGTTAGTGTTATCATTAATGAGAATGAAACAAGATGGCCTGACGGGCCCTTGCATGGCATGCGCTCAGTGTCACAGGCCCTGTTGTCTGTCTCCCCATCAGACCAGGAGGTGGGAGAGGCAACGCTCTCTTTTCTATCTGCTCTCCCGGTTCTCAAACCATCCGGTCCCGCCTTTTCTTGTTGTAGCTCACCCCAGGGCCCCTTAACTGGCCCTTCCCTCAGCAGCAGTGCCCCCTCCATCCGCAGAGCCATCTTACCCACTGCCTTCCCTGGCACCTGGGTCCCTGCACCCAGCCGGAGTGACCACACAGCCTGGCAAGCCCTGCCCAGGGCACAGGGCTGTCATGGAGTGTCAGGGTCTCACGCCACCCATCCAGCCTTCACCTCTCCCCACACCCAGCTCCCCACCCACAGCTTAGCATCACACCCCACCCTAGCCCCCAGCCCAGTGTTCACCTGAGGGGTGCTCAGGGTTCCCGTCCGACATCGGAGAGCCCTCTCCCGGGTGCCGGTGGTCCAGGTGGGCGCTCTTGTAGTGGGCCTGGATGGCGGCCGCCCCGCCCTGCTCGGCCTCCCCGCCGGGGCACTCTGACTCCCCCTGCGCCGCCTTCCCGTTCTTCCGTCTCCTCGGCTGGTACTTGTAGTCCGGGTGGTCCTTCTTGTGCTGCATCCGGAGCCGCTCGGCCTCCTCGATGAAGGGGCGCTTGTCACTCTCATTCAGCAGCCTGGGGTGGGCCGTGGGGAGACAGCAGAGGGGCCACTGTGAGTGTCTTCCCTGGAAGAACTGAGGCCCGGGCGCCCAGCGTGGGAGCTTGCCCTTTGATTTACAGACTGGAAGATGTGAGGCCCAAGGAACCCCAGGCTCAGAGGGTGGTGACCTCACCCCCAAATCTCTCAAGAGGTTGGGGTATAAGAGCGGTCAGCCTGCTGCTCCTGGTAGCCCTTGGGATGGAGTCAGAAGTAGGAATAGAGCTTAGGAGGGGCAGACATCAGTTCAAGGAAAGGAAAGACTTTCTCCCATTAAAGCTGTCTAGCCCGGCCGGTGTGGCTCAGTGGTTGAGCATCGACCTATGAACCAGGAGGTCATGGTTCGATTCCCGGTCAGGGCACATGCCCGGGTTGCAGGATCCATCCCCAGTGGGGAGCGTGCAGGAGGCAGCTGATCGATGATTCCCTCTCATCGCTGATGTTTCTATCTCTCTCTCCTTCTCCCTTCCTCTCTGAAATCAATAAAAATAAATATTTTTTCAAAAAGCTGTCCAAGTGGGGTTTGCTACTTCGTCAGGGGGGAGCTCCCTGGGACTAGAGGTGCACAAGCTGAGGAGCAGCGTGTGAGGGGGAGGAGCCCGGCCTCTGCTGCTTACTAGCTGTGAGACGGGGGCAGGTCACTGCCTGAGCCTTCGTTTCCTCACCAACAGAACCAGGTGACAGTGCCCACTTCACCAGGTGTGGGGCTGGCCAAGATCACGGATGCGAAGCGCTTGGCACCAGGCCTGGGGTGGGGCTGGCGCTTGAGAAATAGGTGCTGCCCTGATGCTGCTTGTGGGGGGCTGGACAGGCCCTGGGGAGGCCCGGCTCAGCTCTGGAACACTGACTGCTCATTGCAGTGGCTGGGGCGAGGGCAGGATGTGAGCCCTTCCCTGCCTCCTGGGGGAGACCCTGTCTCCTCAGCCAGGGTGACAGAGGGTAGAGGGAGCAGCTGCTCTTCCCAGACCTGGGACAGGGGCAGACACCCTCTCCGCAGGCTGAGACCAACCAGTGGAGGCCCCGAAGGCACCGCCCCTACCCACCTGACTTCAGCCTCAGAGGGAGGAGGGCAGGATGGGGTACCCTGCAGAGGGTGCTGAGGGGAGTCCTAGTCATAAGGGACTGCGGGAGCAGCTCTGTTCTCTGCCCAAAGATGCTCTCTCAGCCCCCACCCCACCCCCAATGGGCGCCCTCTTCCCCTAGTCAGCAGAAGGCTGAGCCCTCCCACCCGGGATGGGAGGGGGTGGTCATACCAGGCGCCTCCAGCCGGCAGCAGCATTCCTCTGCAGCTTAGCCTCCCCCTGCCCCCCTCCCTCGCCCCCTCCCCGCGAGGCCCTGAGCCCGGCCCTAGCCCAGCTTGCTCCAAGGGTCCCTCTGGTGAGAGATGCGACAGGGACTCCAGATCAGGGCCGCAGGGTTCAAGGAGTGGGATGCCTTCGGCCTCTGGAAGGCTGGGCCAGGGGAGTGGGTGGGCGGGCCCTGAAGGTGTGTGTGGCTTGGGGCAGGTGCAGGTTTGGGGTGGGGATAGAACTGCTTTTGAGGGTGAAGAGCCGGCTCCCCCAGCACAGAGGCTCCCTGGATGGTTGGGGACACTGAGCTCAAACCTTCCCTGTGCCCTCTGCCCAGTGGTCAGTGGGGTGTGAATCAGTAAGGAAATGGCAGGGGGTTCGGAGGGAGGGCACCAGCCAGAAGAGAGGGAAGATCCCAACACTGCATTCCAGTGTCCTTCCCTAGTTCCTCCCAGCACCCTAACCTTGATAGAAACCTAACCTTGAGCCCACCAGACACCAGCCCATTCTGTCACCACCTCCAGGCCCACCCCAGCCTCGCCCAGACCTCGCTCTGTTTAGGCAGGCTCTCTCCTGACCCCAAGCCCCTCCTGCCCCACCACGTAAAACCCTCCCTGCCCTCCCCCATGGCCCACAGCCCTTAACGGTGAACCCCATCTCCTCTGCACCTTCACTTCACCTCTGTCCTCTGGGTCTCCAAGCTGCTCCCTCCCCAAACCGGAAACCCCCACCTGGGGGGCTCCCAAGGTGGGACACTGGCTGCTGCTCCAATTGCTCCTCCTGGCAGGGAAAGGGCCTGGGGGGCCAGCCTGTGACCCCCTTTTAGTCTCTTGTCTCTAGATATTCTCTCTGGGCAGGTCAGCTACATACAGCCAGCACCACGTGACTGCATCTCATGTCCTTTCCCAGGGGGGCATGGTTAGCATGATTGTCAGAGCTACTTAGGAGCCAGGTCCTGGATGCTGGTGTGTCTACCCCAGCTCCCTTTCAGCACCCAGTATAGTTGTCTGTCTGTGTCTCTCTCTCTTCAGGGTTAGGGCCCCTGCCCTCCAGTTTTGCCTCCCTAATCACCCCCCTTCCTGCTGCCTGCTGGTCTGGGAGTCATGAATCTGGGGCGGGGACCTCAGGAGGAGCCCGTGGCGAGAGCCAGCCTAGTCCAAGTTCCAGGATCCCAGAACGTCCCTTAAGATCCCACCCAGGTACAGGTAGCCCGCCCACATGTTGGCAGAGTCTTTCTCTTTGCCACTGTCCTGCCCCCTCCTACCCCCGGGCCTGGGTCCTGAGCAAGGAGCGCCTGTTTTCCTGATTGCCCCACCCCAGGCTGGCGCTTGGGGGCACCCTGGGCCCCGGTGCGCACACTGAGTGGTGGCCAGGAATGGGTCCTCTTGAGGGAGCCTAAGCCCGGATTCTGGGCTGGGGAGCAGGGACAGGGCAATGGAGGCCCCGTCTTAAACCCTTGGTGGTGGAGTGCTTGGAGCAGTGGGGGCCATTCTTGCTCCAATGCCCTCACTGTGGTCTGTTCACCGTCCCCACAGCCTGCTCCGTCTGCCTGTCTGTCTCCCTCCTGCTTGTCTGTCTCTCACTGGCTCTTTTCCGTCCCCTGGCACCGACGGTCCTGGCCTGGGCTGAGCCCTCCATGGGTGTGGGTGGACCTTGGGCTGAGAGGGGTCAGGGAGCACCAGGCCATCAGCAAACACACAGCCAAGGACAGGGCCGGGCCAGATGTGAATCCCTCTGGGAGGCCCTCCTGCTTCTTCCACCACCTAAGCCTGTGGCCTTTGGGACCTGGTCTCCACTGGGCAAGGGGCAAGCCAGGGGCACAGCAGCAGGAAGGCAGCAGTTCCTCCGACAAAGCCCAAACCACTGCTCTCCTCTGCCCTACCCCACACCCTCCTGAGCACACCTCAGAGTGACAGGGTGACCCCCCTGTCACCAGGGTCCGTGTGGGGAAGACCACTGGGCGGAGAGTCAGCAGCCGTGGTTCTGGCCCTGGCTCCTGGGCTCTGCCCCTAGCTGTTAGGTGGCCTTTGTGGTCCTTTGCCTTTCGGGGCTATCTCGTGGGCAGTCTAGTGGGAAACCAGGTGACCTCCGCAGGCTCAGGCTCGCACCTCCGGAGCCCCTGTTCTCTCTGTGAGCTCCCAGGACTGGGGTGTGTGGGGGTGGGGGTTGGCGGACTTCCTCCTTGGGGGGATGCTGTCCCCACAGAGGTTTGGTTGATCCCTGGGAGCCTGGGAGTCTGAGGGACCCGGGCGGGAAGGGGCCAAGGTTTCCTCCGGGCCAGGCTCGCAGCTCCAGCCTCGGGGTGGAGGGGCAGGAGGTTACTCATCGCTGGGTGGGGCCCTGGAAAGGAAGATGGCGCCGAACTGGGAGAGGGAGACAAGCCTGGCAGCTTTGGGACGGGGTGGGAGGCGCTGCTTTCTGTGTGTCCCCTTCCCGGAGGAAGGACCCCCAGCCTGAAGGAGGGTGGGGCCCGGAAGGCATAGGGAGGGCCGCTGGGACGGGCCAGGATCCTGGCCGCAGATTTCTCCATTCCTCCCTCTTCCAAAGGCTCCTGTCCGACCCCTTGCTTCCCTGAACTTTCACCTCTTCTGCATGGCTGCCTCAGTTCCCCTGCCTCTCCAGGCAGGCCCTCAATTCTTTGCCAAACGTTTCCCCAGCATCCCCGCCACTAACCCGGTGGCAGTGGCTCCCCTGAGAGCGCTGCCCGTGGGGAAGCGGTTCGTGACGGCCTCCGGGCTCCGTGGGAGCCCTCCGCCATCCTCCCTCCCTCCAGCCTTCCCTGCCCCCCACCCGCCAGGACGAAGCCGAGGCCCTACCGCCTGCCACCGACAGAATTCCAACCACGAGGGGGCGCCTTTCTGCCCGCTGCCCCGGCTGGGGAGCCAGCACCACCCCAAGGGGGCACTTGTGGGGGGCCCCCCAGCCCCACCAGGAGATGGCTACCTCCGGAGAAGGGTCTGAGGAGCACCGTGGGGCCTGAACCCCCCGCAGCGGGCGGGCAGCGCCGCTCACCTCCAGAGCTTGCCCAGCGTCTTGCTGAGCTCGGCGTTGTGCAGGTGCGGGTACTGGTCGGCCAGCTTCCTGCGCGCCGCCTGCGCCCACACCATGAAGGCGTTCATGGGCCGCTTGACGTGCGGCTTGCTCTTGCTGGCGCCGTTGACGCGCACGGGCATGGGCACCAGCGTCCAGTCGTAGCCGCTCAGCACCTGGCTGACGGCCTCGCGGATGCACACGGGGAACTTGTCGTCGTCCGCCTCGCCGTCCTGCTGCTCCTTCTTGACCTTGCCCAGCTCTCCCGGCCCCGGGCTGGCTCGCAGGCCCGCTCCCCCGCCGCCGCCGTCGGGTCCCAGCGAGGGCGCGCTGCCCGGGGACAGGCAGCGGGGCTCCTCGGAGCCCACGGGGCTCAGCTCCACCTCGGAGAGGTCCTGCTCCTCCGCCATGTCGCCCCCGGCCGCCGCCGCCTCGGCCGCCTCCCCGGGGCCCGCCGCCGGCGTCCTCGCGAAGAGTCCCACGCTCACCTGGACGGGAGGGAGTGCGCGATGGAGCGGCCGCGCGCAGCCCCGACGGCCGGGACGCGACGCGCGCAGCCCGAGGTGGCGCCCGCCCTGCTCCCCTAAACCCACGGCAGCCCCGGGCGCGCGCACATGCCAGACCCGCTCGGCCTCCTCGCTCCTGCCTCCACGTCTCCCCGCCACCTGGTCCCAACCGTCTCTCTCCCGGTGTGGGTGGGTTTGGGATTTTTCAAAACCTCCTTTTGGGTGGAGGTTTGTTGATGGAAAGGAAGAAAAACGGACTCTTTATTCGGCTCTAATCCCGGCTCCTGGAATTTCCCACCTTTTCTCTCACCTTTCCTTCTTCCCTCCGCCCGCGCCCGCCCCGACGGAGTCCCCAGGAGCAGGGTGGGGGCAGGGGGGGGCAGCCCCTCTCCCCCCAGACCTCACTGCAGGGGCCCAGGCCTGGCCGGGGAGGGAGGAGCGGGCTGCGCACACACTCACCTCCTCGGACCTGTCCTCCAGCCTGGGGCTCGTCCTCAGGAAGTGGAACACCGTGTCCCAAGGTGTGCGGTCCAGCTCGGAGCTGGGGGTGGACGCTGGTGGGCTGGGAGGGAGGGGCTGGGGCGCCCTGAGCCTCAGGCCACGGCCTCGTCGGGTCGGAGCCTGAATCCTCACCACCAACCACCCTGGCCGGACAGCCCGAGACTGACTGAGCACTGAGCTGCTGCCGAGGGCTGGGGAAGGAAGGAGGGGGAGAGGGGGAGGGGGAGGGGGGAGGGAGGGAAGGGCAGAAGGTGGAGCCTCCAGCGCTTTCCTTCATCCCCAACACTCAGGGCTCCTCCGCCAGGCCCCCCCACCCCAGCTGCCTGCGCTGCTGCCCCAGGCCCACCTTGGGGTCAGAGCTCGGGTGGGGAGGTGTAGGCGTGGGGGTAGTCAGGCCAGGAAAGTCAAGGGATGCTCATGGGCGGGGTCGGAACCTGTTGCTTGGAGGAAGAGTGGCCCGACTATGACCCCCCCACCCCCAGTCTTGGGGCCTCAGGTGGTAGGATGGGCAAGGAGCAAAAAATTGGGGAGGGATGCGAGGCAGGGAGGATTCTGTTGCTGTGTGAGGTGGCTGGCTGGTGCTGCTTCTGGGAGGACATCTTCCGGAGCACCTGTGGGCAGGCCTGCTTCCCAGCTGTCTCCGCCTCAGCCCCACCTGGCCGCCCTCTCTGCCCCAACTTCCAGAGACCCGGGTCGGTACTTAGGAGGCCGTGGGCAGCTCCACACCTGCCAGTGCAGATGGCCCGGCTTGACCCCTGGGCCCTTCTCATCGGACACCCAGGCACGTAACTGTGGGGCTCCAGGTGGACAGAGGACTAAAGTTCCCAGTGGGCTGGGCTCGGGGCTGAGGGGCCTCTTCAAGCAGGTCTGAAAGGCCTCTGGGCCCCAGTCCCTTCACACTGGCTCACCCTCTCTAGTGCACCAGTCCCTGGTTATCATGAAGTCCCCCTCCCCCTCCCAGCCCCTCTCTTCCTCCTCTTTGCCCACTGCTCCCCTCAGCCCAGCTGGGTGACCCTCCATTGTTCTGTCTTGCCCACCACTCATGGCTCCCTTTTCTCTCCTCTGTCCTAGGCCTCTCTTCCGAAGCACATCCCTGTCTCTTCTCCGTGGGTGTGCGTGGAGGGGCCGATGGAGCCGGGCCCGCACCGGCGACCAGGTATGGTTCTGAGCTCCTCAGCAGCTGGGCAGGGGCCCAGGCCACCCCAAGGGAGTCCTGTCTGGAGTGGGGCTGGAAAGGGGGTCTAGGCAAGGCCTCCTGCTTGGGAAAGGCCACGGGGGTGGAGGGGTGGGCAGTGGGACACAATGAGGTAGTCACACGAGGCGAAGGCATGTTGGGGGTGGGGGGAGCGGACATTGGAACACACACACACACACATGCTCGCACACACAACCAGCCAGACAATCGGGCCAGTGTGTCTGGGGCCTCGGAGCCCAGTGAATTAGGAGTTTGATAAGGGTTTTCTCTTTCTCTCCCTTGCCGGCCTTGGACAATCTCCCCCCAGTTTTCCTCGACGCCACCCCCGGCGCTGCCAACCCTCCTCCCCCCGCCTCCCTTCTCTTCCCTGTGCCCAGACTCTTGTTCGGGGCCTTGAAACAGTGAGCTGTCTTTGTTCGAAATACAGGTGAACGGCAATCATGTGATTAACACACACACACATAAAAAGCTTTTTAACAGCGCCCGCCCGGCCTCAGAACCGCCCAGAGGAGCCGCCCTGGATGGACAGAGGGCTGAGGGCCGAGCATCCAGCTGGTCGTCCGGCTGCCCAGCAGTCTCCGACGCCGAGGCTGCCCGTCCGCTGCCCGCCTGCCTGGCATCTCTTGATCCTCCCGGTGGGTCCCCATTCATCCTTCCACCCTTGGTTCCTCCTCTTCGAGGGCAGGGCCTCCCTGCCCCTGCCGTGTCTGTGAACCGGTCCTGAGACCCCCCAGGGCAGGGAGGGGTGGCTGTGGAGGGCGAGGGCCCAGGGTCGGAAGCTGGGTGTGGGGTCCCACAGCTCCCTCTGCGCCTCCCCCCTCCTCCTCCCAGCTGTGCCAGGATGGGGGTGGGGGTGGCAGTGCACGCTCTGGGTCTGCAGAGAAGCCATGGTGCACAGAGGGGGCCTCTCTTTTCCCTTCCTTCTGTCTCTCCCTCTCCTCCTGTGTCCTCGGTGCTGTGCTTTCTGCTGAGAGGTGCTGGCTGAGGCAGAGGGCGCCCGAAGAGGGGGTGTGGGGGAAGGGTTGTCAGATGCCCAAGGCTGTGGGGGTGGGGACCCCCTGCTGTGAACATTTTCCTCCATCCACCCACCATGCTGGCAACCATGATCCTCTCCTTCCCACCCCAGGCCCCGGGGACCCAGCTTTCTCCAGCAGGGGAGGGAAAGGCCCATGGAGAGCAGGGGGTTTGGAGAGGGGGGCAGGGTCCTGGATTAAGACCCTGGGCCTCTGCCCTTGGCAGAATCACCAGGTGGGCCAGTACCACCTCCTGCTCCCTTCCCTGCACCGGTGGGAGGGGTCCCTTCTCCCTCATTCCTGACCCTTCCCCAAGGATGCTGGCCAGGACTCTCCCCTCAGCACCCTGTCTACTCTGGCCGTCCTGGGGGAGCTGTGGGGAGAAGTGGGCTCTGGCCGGCCCTCTCTCCCCAGCAGAGAGGTGGGGACTCAGGTGTCCCTTCCTGGTGGAGAGGCCCTTCAGGGGCGGCAGTATTTGCCTGGAGCCCAGCCTGGGTGCTACTGATCCTGGTCCCAGACTCACCCAGTCAGCCCCTGAAAGGAGGGGAAGGAATGGAGTTCTGTCCATCAAAGGTCAAGCCACTGATGGCCCCACCTGGCAGAGCTGCTTGGTCAGCAGTGACCCTTAACCCCTTAGCTCCCTGAGCCCTCTTCCCAGGGCCCTGGTCATGCTGTGGAAGGCTCCGCCCTCGTCCTCCTTCCCTGCTCTGGGCCTGGACCCTCCTCTGCCACCTGGGGCACTGATCACCCTCCTGCCATCCTGCCTCCCCGGACACAGAGGAAGCGGGCAATCTGTTCGCAGAGCCAGGGGCTGTGCAGGGGTGGGGTGCTGGTCACTCGTGTCTCTGCTCCTGCATGTTTTCCCAGGTGGGCTGACACTCTTCGCAGCCCTTCAGAGGCCAGGGCTGAGGGCCAGATGGGGGACACGGGGAGAGCGCTCTCCCATCTCAGGCACATGTGGGTGAGACCTGGGGCCCAGGCTGTCCTCTCCCTGGTTCCCGCAGGCCTGTGCCCCTCCCAGCACCTCAAAGGCGCACCAGCCCCGCTGGCCCCCGAGGGACACTCACCCCCACTCTGGCTGTGGGACAGGGTTGGCCGCGGCAGCGCCTCTCCATGTAACGGTGTGTCGCCGGCTCCCATTCTTTGGGTCCAGGTGGGGCCTGAGGTTTCGTGTTTGTGACCAACTTCTGTGTAGCTGCCTCGGGCACTGGCCCTAATAATGCTAGTTGCACTTTAGAATCGGGTGGAGTTTTTAAAAAATCCTGAAACCTGAATCCCATGGCAAACAGGCGAATTCTGACGGACTGAGGACGGGGTCCAGGCCTGGTTACTTCGCGAAGCTCCCATGGGATCTTGCTCACCTCACTTGGCTCTCTGAGCCCTGAGGACCCCAAATCGCCAGGGACGGGAGGGGTGGGGCTCTGGACCCCAGGGCTGGAGGCTCCACATGCAGTTACCCAGGGCTGGGGTGTGGCAGGGAGGCTGTGCGCTGGGGAGGAGAGGACTGAGGACCCAGGGGTCAGGCTACAGCAGGGACCAGGACACACTTAGTCCGGGTGAGTGTATGGGACATGGGGGGCTCCTGATGTTTCCTCGGCCACCCCCACCCCCTCTGCACAGGCCGTGTCCTTCTTCTTTTTTTTTTTTTTTTTGATGCCCTTGACCAGAATCGAACCTGGGACCCTTCAGTCTGCAGGCTGACGCTCTATTCACTGAGCCAAACTAGTCAGGGCATGGCCGTGTCCTTCTTGGTTTGGGTGCAGGAAGAGCTGGGCCTGGATGAGGAAACGCTGCTGTGGGTGTGCACAGGGCCTCGGGCAGGTTATGCTGTGAGGCTTTGCGCGTGTGGAATGCTGGTGTTGTGTATGTTATATATTATACACGTGGGAGACCTAAATAAGAACGCACACGTATGCTCCTAGTTTAGTGCTTGGTGCATTAAGTATTCAACACCTGTTGGCTAGAAAAGGCAGTTTAGTCCTGAGAGGGGAGATACTTTGCGTGCACACGTGTTTACCGAGCAGCCACCTGGGCCTGCCTTCGGAGTTTCTCATCTGAATGTTGCTCCCAACATCAGACCTGGGTGGGGTGCGACACGTTCCTTGTGGGTGGGCCTCCCAGCCTGCACCCCTTACTTCTAGGCCTCCCCGTGGACGGGCCCAGCTCTGAGCACTCCTGTCACTGACTCATTCCGTCTTCTCAACAACCCTATGAGTAGGTGCTGCTATTAGATTCCTTCTAGGAGGGAAACTGAGGCACTGAGAGGTTCAGGACAGGCTTGAGCTCACCCAGCTCATGATGGGAGGGTGTGGACCTGCACCCGCGGTACCTCCCAGGCTCTGACCACTGAGCTCCACAGCCACTAGACGGAGGGCCCGTCTTCTCCTCCTCCCTGTCCCCAGGCCTTCCCACCTGCTCTGCCCACCGCTTCCTCCAGGTCACTGCTTTCAGCCCAGCTCAGAGGCCCTCCCTTCAGAGATGCACTCCTGGTTGGAATTCTTTAAAATATATAAATATTTTTGTTGATTTCAGAGAGGAAAGGAAAAGGAGAGAGAGAGAAACATCAACAATGGGAGAGAATCATTGATTGGCTGCCTCCTGCACACCCCTCACTGGGGATCAAGTCTGCAACCCTGGCCTGTGCCCTTGACCGGAATTGAAACCAGGACCCTTCAGTCCGCAGGCTGAAACTCTATCCACTGAGCCAGACCGGCCAGGGCTGGAATTCTTTTCCTGTATCACCTTCCCACGGGGGTGAGGTGGGAGCCTCACCTCCTCGCACAGCCTGGCGTCCAGGCTGGGTCTCCACTTGCTGGGCGCCCCCTGAGGGCAGGGCCATGCCTTCCTCTGGTCTCAGCCCCTCGGGCCCAGCATGCCCTCAGGGAGTCTTCCCTGAGCTGAGTTACGGTCCGAGTTCCCAGGATGAAGAGATCAGAGAGACTGGAGCAGGCAGGCGTGGCTTCCTGGAGGTGGAGGGCCGAGAGCTCAGGGAGGACAGCATTCTAGGGCCTGTCCCAACGGGGGCTCTCGCCTGTCCCTGTTTCTGGTCCAAGCTGAGGGTCCTGGACCTGGGCCACAAAGGCAGCTCCTGGGGCCTGAGTCTTCCTTCCCCTCCCAGCCCCGCCCTTTCCAGGAACAAGGGAGCTGGGGCTGGTGCCCAGAGCTGCCTGGGGCTGCGGCCTCTGCCCTCTTCTTAGAAGCCCTCCGAGAAGGGCACTGCTGGTTCCTGTCACCCAGACCCAGCTGCCGGGAAGTCTTCCTGGCGTCTCCCCTGGATGGCTCAAGCGGTGGCGAACTTTTGTGAACGTACCGTCCGTGCAGAGCTCTGGGCCAGGAGCCGGGGTGGGGCTGATGGAGGCCAGAGCCTGGCCTGGAGCTGGGTTCCAGGGGAGACACCTGCGTGAAAGCCCAGGACCCTGGCACAGCCGAGGCCCTCACGGCTGAACGGCGGCTGGAGCCCACGGGCTGGGGTCAAGTCCAGCTGGGCTCCGGAGGCCCTGTGCAGCCTGGGCTGCCTTCTCTCTCTAGGCTGCCGTTTCCACCTGTAAATGAGGAACAGCCCAGGTTATCTCTAACGGCGGGTCCAGCTTTGATTGCCCGTGGACCTGTCACAACAGGAGGCCAATGCCTGGCCCAGTGTTTCCAAGGTGGTACCTCAGGCCCTGGGCTCCCCAGACCTGGGTCGCTTTTCTTGAGAAGACAGAGTTATGGGCAAATATGCTTAGGAAACTGCTTTCCCTTCCTCTTCTCAGAGATGCAGGGCCTGCTACAGTGTTCAAGGCTCTAGGGAAGTGGTTCTCAACCTTCCTAATGCCGCGACCCTTCAATACGGTTCCTCATGTTGTGACCCAACCATAAAATTCTTTTTGTTGCTACTTCATAACTGTAATTTTGCTACTGTTATGAATCGTCATGTAAATATCCGATATGCAGGATGTATTTTCATGGTGACAAATTGAACATAATTAAAGCATAGTGATTAATCACAAAAACAATATGTAATTATATATGTGTTTTCCGATGGTCTTAGGCGACCCCTGTGAAAGGGTGGCTTTACCCCCAAAGGGGTCGCGACCCACAGGTTGAGAATCGCTGCTCTAGGGGCTGCAGTTACAAAATGGATCTGTTTAAAATCCTTATCCCCTCCTCCCCCTCGCCCTCCTCCCTATCCTTCCCCTCCTCCTCTGCCTCCTCTTCTTCCTCTTCTTCCTCCTCCCATTCTGGTCCCTTTGTCTCCACCTTCCTCTCTCCCAAGAGTCAAAGAAGGTGGGGTGTTCCCTTTAGGAGCTCTGACCCCAGGAGGGCCTGGGAGTCCCTTAGGACACTGTCCTCAATTCCTCATCTTCCACAATCCCAGCACGGAGCTCCACCTCCCATACCCAGCCTTGACCTAAGCTGCAGCCACGGTGGCTCTCCCCACTGCCGAGGTGTGGCCGAGCCCAGCAGGCCCAGCCCTGTCCACAGGACACCTTGCCTGTTGGCCGAGGCTGGGAGCCCTCCCTGCCCTTGGCCTCGCTCACCTTCCCAGCCGGACGTCACTCCCACTGGGGTTCGTACCTGTGAACTGGGTCTGTGCCACTTCCGCCATGTTGCCTGGCACACAGGTGCACAGTGACTCGAAT